GAGAGGGCGCAGCCCCCACTAGCCCCCCCCCCGCCCCGTGGCGCCGCCACTACTTTAATGCATATATTTTTTGATTTTTTTCACAAATATTGACTGAAACTGTGTGTAACATCAGTTCTATTGAGTAACTACTCTTTCTTAAATTAATTAAACTCAACTGAGCTTTCTTTTGCATGAATGTGAAATCGCTGCAAAGTAGAAGTAGTATTCCGATCGGGAAATTTTCGGAGTTTTTCCCGATGATTTACTGTCGGTTCCTACCGGAATCTAACGGAAAAGAATCCGAAATTTTCCGACCGTACCGCCACCACATGGGTCTTGAAAATTCAACTTATCAATCAGCTAATATGCTCTTCTAATCGATTAACACTGATTGTGAACTGGGTCGGCCGTTGGATATATTCTCCGGAAACGATGTGGTGGTTCTGAAAAGTGCAAGGAAAGATACTTGCAGAACACATTTTCATCATTATTTTCATAGGATTGATCTCCTTGTTTTGTCGTATTTTATAGGTGGCACACAAAGAAAAAATATACTTTATCCATGCATGGATTTGTTTTATGCGTTTTATTCTTTAATGAATTCGATCGCTCTTTTTTTTTTCGTTCATGAAATTTATATTGAATTATTAAAAAACAGTATTTTTCAATGGATAGAATAACATTACAGCAGATTTAGTGTTCATATGATTAAATGAGTTTGAGTGAATTAAAGATAATACTACCGATATGTGATGATATTGGCGCATGCAAATTATTTCGATTTTCAATCATTTGTTTCACAAATGGTAGTAGATTGAGAGGAAATTGAACTTTAACTAGTTTCAGCTGACGACGATGTTCAGTATTTCTCACAAAGCCATCGATAGCAATCCAACCTTTTTCAAATGCTTCTTCCTCTTGTTTCGTTCGAGGTTTGGGACATAAACTTAAACATCGACAATACTGCGTTTGCTCATCAACCGTTTCAAAATAAAGAGTACCATTGAAGATAAATAACTGAACCAACCATTCGAGTGGTATGACGAAAGGAATAACGCCATTGGGATGTTTAAGTAATGAAGGAATGGTAAGAGTTGGAGTATTCACAAAAATTGATTGATCTCGTTTAATACGAGGTAATAATAAACGTAATGTAGTCGTCGATGGGCTAATACATCGTTGTTTATGAAAAAGAAAGTTTAAACGACCTAGCAGCCAATTGGCTTCAAGAGCACTGAGAAAAATCAAATGTTTGTTTCGGTATACTAGGATCCATCGTGGAGGACGTAAAAATGGATTTAATGATTCTCCTTTAGTTTCAATAACACGTTGAAATTCAGTGGAAATCCAAATATTCTTTGACCAATTTTCGGATTGACACTCTTCAAGAAAGGTTGTACCAGTAAATGCATATGGCAAACGACGAAATACATTAGGGAATTGTGTTAAATCCATAATATCATTATGCATGTCGCACAAACGTGTAATTTCCTCGTGTAGAATAGGTTCACATGGTTTGACAGATGGTGGAAGCTCTTTTTGACGCTCTTCTTCTAATGCGTGCTCTAATTCTCTTTGTTTTTCTTCATCTAACAATTGTGATAAACGTTGTTTTGTTCCACCATAGTCTCTTAATCGTTTTAATACTGCATCTTTAGTTTCCTTCGATAAATGATGATGAGTATGTTCATATCGCTTGTGATAAATTTCGAATAATGTTTGTAGTTCCTTCGCAGCACCATACATATTGGTCAATTCTATTATTTCAGGTTCACAACATTCTTTAGGTAAATCTCTCATGATTGAATTCGTAAATTGTTGTTGATTATCATTCCAATTAATATGTTGAAATGCAGAAACTTTTCGTTGAAAGTTTAAACTTTGAGCAGCCCAATGATGTAATCCATCCCAAGTCGCTTGTTGAGTATTTTCATAGACCCATCGAAGGATGTCAATCAAATTAATCGGTTCATCGTCTTTTCTTCTTTTATGTTCAATAGTAAGTGAATTTCTTTTCAATGTTTCAATTTGTTGATGAACTTCATATGAACTCCAAAATGTCAATGAATGGCCATTTCCTAATTTTCTCATTCTCATACATGCTTGTACAAATCGATCTTTTGTTAAACCATTTCCTAAGGTTACAGCGGCTTTAAATCCTACTGGAAATTTGAAATCAGTTCCTCGAGTATGAATTTCATCTAAATAAAATATGCAACGATCCAACCGTTCACTTGCAGGTGATGTTACAAATGAACAATTATGAGATTGGCGATCGCCAACGACTATTGAATCACAATCAAAGTAAACAGCATAATCGATCTGGTTTCTATCGGATAGATTTAGCCATTTCATAGCAATTTCTCGGTTGGTTCCGTCGATGAATAATGCTCCAACATCTAAAATGACATTAATAGTTTCTTTGTAGCTGATAATTTGCTTCAAAATATTTTCTGATGTGGCATTTATTAATAAGGACTGATAGTTTTCATTTTCAGGTTGTACTAAATTATTAACAACAATTGCATCGGTTTTTTGAAGTTCTGGTAAATCATATTGACGAATATGAACAGGAAGTAATAATTGTGTATCATTTGTTCCACTGAATCCAGTGATGATTTTCGATCGTAATGGCGAAGATAAATCCCAAGCAGAAGCAACTAATTTCTCTGGAAATTGTTTTGCTTCTCGAGCGACTACAAAATGATTTAGAAAGTAATGGATAACTAACATATTATATCGAAATATAGGAAAAAGGCATTCAGTGAGTTGTCGATAATCTTGCAAATTAACCCCACTCCATTTTTTGATACTTTGTGTTACGTTATCTTCACCCTCATATAAAACCCATTGGTCATAAATGAATCCAGGATCAGTTTCTTCGTCATTTAGCCTATTGAAACATAGTGATAATTGTAAATCGTTCAAGCCAGAATAATAATATGAGAGATGCGTTAATACCAAAGCAACATCTGGATGGCCAAACTCAGTTCTGTCGACGACAACATCCTTGGCACGAAACGGTACAGCCATTAGACGATTAAAAGAAATATTTGGATTGACACCATAATTAACTCGATATCTTTTTTTGAAAGCCACTAACAAAACTTCTGATGATAGCAAACCACGAACAATGAGAAATAATTGAATATCAAGAGGTGGAAATTTATCAATAAGATTTTCAACTGATGAGCTGGTTTCTAAAATAAACGATGAAATAGTTGCTTTATCGGCAGAACGATAATTTCTACTGTCGATCCAATCACTTGCAATTTTTTGGCATAATAATGGATATGCTTCTTCACATGATTGCAAGCGAAATTGTGGAAATCCACTTTTTCGCTCAGGCGATTTATAACAAGTTTTTTCTTGGAACATTCTCGATACATCTTTAGCATGTTTTTTAACTAAGTTAAGAATTGATTGAATGGTTTTCCATCGCTCTTCACCTGCATCAAGTTGTTGTTGGCCACCAACAGTATAAATTAATTGATATTTAACATGCAAAATTTCATCAGATTCATCTAATACATCGCGAACATAAGTTTTTAACCATCGTTGAACTGTTAACATAGAACGACCGACATCGAATTGATGTCGACGACACTTATCAATAGTTAGCAAATCAAATGAAAGAATATCTTCTGATGTAGTTAGTATAATGTCACAATTACGTAATCCGTGTTTAAAACGTTCGAAAATCTGATTGATTTGTTGATCCTTGAAATTCATATCACGACGGCATGCAAATGGGAAAATACGTCGATTAAGCAAACCACCTAGTTTATATCGTAATGACTGATAATTGGTCGGAAATAATGACTTCAATACTATAATACGAGCTAAACTCAAATTCGATGAAGATAAATAGGCAGCTAACATGGGCAAAATAACTGCTGTTTTTCCTTCACCCATATTCATTTGCGTGACGATATTCTGTACTGTTGAATTATCGACTCTCATATTTGGTTGCATCATATGATTTGCTACTTTTATTTGAATTTCGCGAATAGTTATATTCATTTCTAATTCCAAGACAAGCCAAGGAATATGTTCAGATGGTTTCCAATTCGAATGTGGTATGTGTGAGACTTCGTTTCTAAAATCTTCCCGTTTGTTATGAGTAGCGAAATGTAATGTTCTTTCCATTTGTTGTTCGAATGTCCAATTGACAATTATGCCACCGAGTATTGTATATTGATTATTAGTCAACTTGAATGATGAAACATTTTCCGGGTTAAGATCTTTTTCGAGAAGTAGAGGTATGAGAACTGTTGGCGTAATTCTGAACAGGAGTCCTGCTTCAAATAATTGTTCATTAGATAATGTAATAGATTTGGAAAATTCATTGTACAGTCTTGTAGATTCATGTCGAAATAAATCGAGAGCTTCAGTAATTTCTTCAATAGCAGGATTTTCTTTTTCATCTTCATCGTCCGATAGTAGTTTTTTCCAACTTTCAGATAGTTGTTTTTTAAAATAATTAGTAATTTCAGTTGGAGGATTATTTTTATTGTTGATAGAAGGGAAAATTTCCTGTGGAAATTTTTTTTGTCGGTTAGTTTTTCTAATGGATTTTGTTGGTTGATTAAAAGAATATGTATTGAATTGATGAAATTTGTGCTCTGCGCTTCGTAAAAGTGCGGGCTCGATTGTTTTGTTTGTAATTTTCATTTGTATTTGATAATGATCTTTTAATGACTCGATCACAAAATTTTGAGCACTACAAGTTACCTTGATGTCAAATTGTTTTATTGGAACAGAACAAATGAGACTTTGCACGCATTCTAAAAAGAGTCGAAGTTTTAAGTTAGAACCCGGTGATTTCAATAATTTGTTATTTGCATATTTTTCAGTAGATGTTGCTATGCCATCAACATTTGGATATTCACAATTTTCTCTCCAACATCTTTCAAGTTCTGCTATGCTTAGAGTATTTTGGCATAGGTCACAGCACTCCCCGCGTGGGATAAGCGTCTTTACAATTGGAATTTGTTCGATGTTCGTATAAGAAACAAAAGGAGGAAATGCTAGGGACGCGAAAGATATTTTAGACACGTTCAATGTTGTCTTTAACATTTGCAAATAATATGGTTTTATTTGACATCTATCAGAAATATAATGAAGAAATTTTAACAAACATTCAAATCGTTGAATGTCATCTGTAATTTTTCCAGCGGCTTCTCTTTTAAAACGATCGGCCAATTGTAATAAACCGACCCAAAGAGTTTTCAGTTGACTTCCTTTAGTCAACCATTGAGACAATGGTAACCAATTTTGCATCGAACAACTTGTGAGGTTTACATTACCATTTTTGTATAAATCATCCACAAGTCGAACAGCACTATAGTTAGTGATGTTCGAACAATTCTTCAAAGTCTGACGATAAAGTTTTGTAGAACTAGCCCGTAAGATATCTTTCTCCATCTCTGCAGATAATCGAGCTGCTGGATTGTATGAATCTCGATAATCCCAATATAATTTCTTCAATAACATTTCATTATAAATTTTCACTTGAAACACCTCCGGGATCTTATTGGTTTTCAATGATGGATACATAAAATTGAATAATTGACTACTGTCGATTAATTGTTTTGCTATTAAATAATATCCGAAATGTTGCATCGAATAGGGTATACCGTTGGAATTCCAGTCTATTTTTTCCATACAAGTGAGATGTTCAGGATAATAGTTGACTTTGGGTGAAATAGATGCAATTTCCCCAAGAATATTTAAAGATAGTTCATCAAAAGGTTGATCTGACCAACAACCAGCTGAATTTAGTAATTGAAAGGCTCTTTCCATTCCAGTCATTCCAGTATAGTGGTCTGGTAAAGGATGAGAAGTTATTGCGTGTAACAATGCTAAATAAAGCCATCCAGTAGGACTGTCTGTTGACTGAAGTATTTGTAATCGATCATTCAAAATGAAAACGAAGTATTGGCGAGAAAACGACATTGAAGAAGGTCGATCTATGGTAACAGTTTGATGTATTTTGTGCTGATCTCTCGTGCTTAGAATCGTGCCAAAAGGTACAATCAATTTTCTATATGGATAATGCTCCGATGTGTGATGCCTAGCTGATAATGGTGATAAAAGAAGGCTAGATGTCAAACCTGTTAATGTTCCTAACCATTGATCTTGATCAATGTACATATCTGAATATTCACGAGAGGTTATGATATTCGTTCTAGTATTATATTTAAAAGCAATTCCTAAACGAGATAAATGAATGTGAATAATAATATCCGATTGAGAAATGTGTTCGCCCATCATATAAACATAGGGCTTGCTATCCAAACGTACAAAGTATTGATTGAATAATGTGTCAAACAATGGCGATGATTGATTAACTAATCTTTGTTCATTAGCCATATCATTAGTAACAACATAGCCCGTTGTTAATGATAGAACATAAGGTTTATGATCTAAAAAATTAGCTTCTTTAAAATGAATAGGTCGAAATTCGACTATTCGGCTTCTTTTGTTTAGCCAATGACTATGGTTAGAGACGAAAACATCCGGCAGTTCAGCCTGAAAATGACTGTGTGGGATCAATTGAAATATCTCATTTGTCGTTATATGCCGTTCAGTAATTGTTAAGTGCTTGGTTTCATCATTCAGATGAAATTCATATTGAACTTGTCCATTACCATAGGGAAGCCTAGTAATATAAGTTTTAGGTGATTCAGCTAATTGTACTTCAAAAATATGCTCTTCAAATACACGTACAAATAATTCATTAGTTGTAATGCTTTCAGGTAAAAATCCTATAGTCATACCATCGACTAAAAAGGTTCCTTTGATACAATTAATTGATATATATCTTGAGTCATATTGGCAATCGTACCAACCATCATAAACATCTTCTGTTCGTTTTTGCCATTGTCCATTCATAGTACCTTTACTTCTAATAACAGCCCAATATATTGCAGAGAAATCGTTTAAACTTTTAAATGAAGTTTTTTGAAGAAATTCGGCAACTATTGGCTGCACCATCACTAATGTACGTTCGCTAAATCTCATAATATTTGTTGCAAATGTACTTATATTAGATTGAATTTTATTTAGAATTATATTATCATGAGTAGTAGTTGCCGCTTTTAGTAGAGACATGACATCTTCATTCGACGATAATAAACAGTGTATTCGATCTGGATGAATTGAAAATGTTAAAATACAAGAGATACCAATAGTCACCATTTTTAAACGGAGATTTTCTATTTCATTAAAATCTGGAGAAGACGTAAATTTAATGGTTTCTGAAATAAGGTCAATCCATTTTTCACCAATTCTACGGCATTTTATTGCTAAATTAACGACTTTTTCTTCTCGTTTTGAATTACAAATAGTTAACATTCTCATAGTAATCATTGTGACTACTAATAATACTAATTCATTTTGCCAATTTAATTCACAATCATCTAAACGGCGATCTAATCTTATAGCCAATTCATCGATAAAATTATCTTCTAATAACTGTTTATGAGCTTCCGAACACCATGAATTATCGGAAGGCTTGCCATCCATTGTTAGAGGTCCATATTGTAATATGGAATGTATAATCAGTATTGCTACACTTTCTTCAGCAATAGACAGCGAATCCAATTCAAGCATCGCTAATAAATTCCACCATTGTAAACGATGTCCTGATCGAAATGAACCAAATTCTACAAATTGGGTAGGTTTGACACGTGCTGAACACTGACATAGCTTAGCAATCACATGGTTTTGTACAAATTGTGTATTATTTATCGTAAATTGTAATTGTTTGAAACCTGGATGATCAAGTTGAGGCGTTAATGCTAGACATTCATCTTTGATTGCAATGGTTGACGTTGGTGAAATTTGAATTTTCAAGCTACTTTCGTACAAAAAATCGCTTACAGATGCGAACGCAATTGAAGGACTAGAGTAATGTGTTTGAGTTATGGATTTTGTGGACGATAATAATTTCACTTTATTATTCTTTGGACCAGTGTAGAACGGACCTAATTTACTGGCGTGAGGAGGAACGCTTAGCCATTCATACATTTGATGATTCAGGTTCGGTTTTGGCCGATTTATAAATTGCCAGATAATATCACGATAACATCGAATTTCAATGGGCATTTGCAATTCAAAGATGACGGCCAATGCATCAGTGCAGTCGGATGGTAATGGCGATTCAAAAATATTTACTTTAATATCGTTAGCTTCTTTCTGAATTCTACATATTTCACATATACAAGGATAGGATCCATATGTACCTTTGCAAGAAAGGCATTTAATTAAATCCATCAGGCATGAGTATCTTTGTTTTGCCTGTATGATTTCCTGTATCTTATCTTGTTTATCTAATTCAGCCTGATCTCTTATTTTCTGTAAAATTTCCTTCATTGTTGACGAATGAGCAGCAAAATTTACACCGAATGCATTATCACACCTTATATTTGTTAAAATATCAGGATATGGTTTTTGCCTAAATTCACTAAAATAACAATAAAGACTATGAGCTCTTTTCATATCATCGCGATTCGGTAAGACCAAACATTTGAAGAGATCCATAAGATTCGGAATCTCAATCGAATGTAATTTTAATCGTTCGAACCTTTGATCACTACATAATTTTTGATTCATTGAGCGAATGATTGTCAACGATGTTAAAATAAATCGACTATAGCCAATCGGATCTTCAATTGAATAATAATGACTTATTGCCTCACTTAGATAGTCTTCAAACAAGTGTAATAAAGTTTCGAAGCGATTTTTTTCACTATGAGATACTGCCGGACGATTAATCCATTGATTTAAACGTGATTCAACCCAAATTTCTATACGAGTCAAGGCTATCCCAATAGTGTAATTGAATTTCCCCGTAAATTTCTTAATCGATGGTATGCAATCGTCCGAATTTAAAGGATAGCGATCATTGTAATTAGTAACAGGTGAAAAATATTGACATGTTTCTCTCAACTTCTGAGTTTTTAGAGACGATTTTAATTCTTGGAATAAATGTTGATAAATATTAGAATTATTCAAATCGAAATTATTCATCAACACATTGTATTTTGATTTTTCATAGATTCGAATAGATTTTTGCCAATTTGGTTTTGGAAGAACTTTATTAATTTTCATTTGTATTTGATGTTTCGTAAGTTGCACCCATTCGTTCAAATCATTTGCATCAATAGACGATAATAAAATTTCAATTTTATTCAGTCTTCGTACAATTTTTCGAATACAATGAACCAACACATCAGTGGATATTTCAGAGCGTGTTTCGGAAAGGCAATATGTGAGGAAATGAGTAATCAACAATTTATAAATAATAATACCAATGCTTCCCAAACGTTTAGTGAGAATAATGTGAAATACTACTTTGATAGTCATCCATAAACCTGATCGTCGAAAAGGTAATAATGCATCACTCCATCTGATCTGATCACGATGCTTTTTCTTGAATTGGATGGACCGATTAGATTTGCTTTTGATTTTAATCCCTTCAAACTGTTGAATCCACCATTGACATACATAATATGATTCTGGTAAGTTACGAGTTTCATTAACTTGGCGCGAGGCTTTATAGGATTTGGAATATTCAATGGTGTTGTGCATAAAGTCCACCAACAATTCGCAGTGGGCTAGAGAGCTCAATTGAGATCGATCATTTAATCTGTATGTTGTTACCGGAAAGCAAGAGAAATGAGGTACAAGAGAAGAAGTAATTTCTTGAATTGGTAATAAGACTTGCCAAGATGAAACTAAAGGTTGGTGAGCATTGTTTTTTTCAATTTCAATTAGAATTGCAGCATTTTGAGCATGGAAATAGAGTGGAAGAAAACTTCCTGGAGTTAATTTCATAATAGTGGATTGCAAATTCGCGTCGGCACAGGTTTGAGGATTTTGTAAACTAGACCAATGTTTAACGCAATTAACAAGGGCTGAAAATATTGACAATTCACTCGTCTCTTTTGTTGATTCAAGCTGATTAAAATATGCTTTCATATATTCTAATATCATGTGTTCATGTTGATGATTGTTTTGAAGGAAATAATCATGGTCAACTGAAGACGGTAGATAATGTGGAAGAAATAAATGATTTAATATTGATTCATTCATTGCTTCGAGTCGTTAGAAAATGTAATCACTAAAGATGATATTTTCGATAAAAGGAATAAAATGATTAAGTGTCAAACACAAGCATAATAAAAAAAAAAGTAAAAGTAAAAAAGTTACAATATCTCAGCAATGTGAAAAATATTTTATTACAACATTAGATGCAAGTAAAAGTGATTTAATTTTCCCTGAGAAATGTAGGAATGGAATTCATTCACAATGCCGTAAACGAGAGCAGTCATCCTATTCCGCAATGCTGAACATTCCGGAACTAGTTCCATCAATTCCAGAACTAGGTCAAACCTGAACACTGTCCCATTCCAGGAATTGCACGGAAGTCAGTCCAATTCCTGTTCGACGTAGTTCCCGGAATTCCGGAATTGTGTTAGAAGGGATAAATGGACTAGCCGGCATTGGGTGAAATTGGTTCCAGAATGTTCAACATTGCGGAATAGGATGCATTCTCGTAAACCATCGTTTTTTCTTGCCATCGTACCTAAAAAATAAAATAAAACATACTCTAGTGTCATCAGATCTACTGAGTAATATCAGAGTTATTTGTTCGAGTGACGACAGAAGTTCTATTGAAAAACCATCTCTTTATTTAGAAAAGCTGTTAGCGCAATCCCTATGGGATTAAAAATGTGAAAAACGACACAATCACTGCAGAAAATCACATGGATATGGTGTATTTAAGGGAGTCCTTTGTTGATTTTGTGAGACAGCTCGTTTGCCGCTACCAGTGATAACATGTGTTAGGCTGGAATAGCGTCTCTGATGGACTGTGCTAGGTTTGAAGACCGCCTGTCATGGCCTGTGATGGCCAATTAAGTAATTCCATGGTAATTAATTAATTAACTAAGTAATTGAGTCGTCTGTCACGGTCTGTGTGTGTGTGGGGGGGGGGGGGGGGGCTGTAAAATTTCTACCCTAAACATTTCAATACTCCTTTCAGGTCGTGTTTCACAAAAATAGGTTGAGTTTTTAAAGTGTATATTGTTATTGATAGTTATCATGTAAAAATACCCACATACGCAGAGTTGATAATACAATTGCGTTATTGCACCTGAATATTTACGCTCGCTATGTTTTCATAAAAGGATGTTATCTTTGGTCAAAACAAAAGAGTACACCTGTATATCATAACATCTACACTGGTGCCTGACACAAACAAAAATATTTTCTATTGCTTTTCTTAGTAAAAGCATATATTGTAATGAGTTACACATCGAAAAACGTCGCAAACGCATCCGAATGATGATATGGAGTATGGAGGTTGTGTGTTTTTGATAAAAGAATGTAAAAAGGACACCCCAAAACCTCAATCCTATGTGCTGTGAGGAATTCAATTACTCTTAGTAACTATTCAGATTTGTTTAGTATATTGAGGATCTTGGAGAGTGAAAAAAAATTTTGACATGATTATCTTTTAAATCGGTAATCTAGAATGGTAACAAACAATACAAGCAGCAGTGGTGGTGGATGTGTAATAACTACCATGATACCTGGGATTTTGATATTGCTGAAATAGTCTTATCAAGTGACACAAGTTAATACGTAATTCAATAGATCCAGGAGTTTTAAAACAAAATTCGAATCAAAAACATAATAAAGTTTTACGTAGAACAATGTGAATGTGGGTTTACATGAAATAGTGAGGGTTTGCATGAGTAACAAGGAGGAAACAGGCAACTCCAATTCCGTGGTATCCCGGAGTCCTCAAAAATAAAATGTTGCATATTTTCTTCTACAGGTATTCCAAGTTAGATACTCACTAATTAGTTGAGTTCATTTTACTACTCACACTACGTAGTGCTAACTACGTGAGCACTGTCCTTGATTAACGTTACTTAAGTGATTATTGACCTGACTCAGTGTTAATTAGGTGAGTATTTACATTAATTAATAGGAATTCTATGAGTACACTACTCAGTAGTCAGTTGATCAATGGACATTTACTTGAGTACTAATTAATAAACTGAGTATTCAACTTGTAATACAAGGAGATGATATTATTTAATGCGAGTATTTTGATTTCTGATCTTGATAAAGAATCCTGTTTTCTGGATTTTTGCCTATTGTAGTTTTTTTTACATCATTAGCAAAAATTATTAATATTAATACATTGATCCGTGACTGAGATTTTTCGAGAAATTTTTAAATTACAACGAAAGAATTTATTAACAGTAAATCAGACCGAAAATATCTAGAAAAAATGATTTGAAAGGTGCGAAAAGTGTTAAGAAACTAAAAATATTGATTATTGTATCACGATGATTTGAGAACTTCTAGTTCAATAACAACAGCTACATGATCACTTTCAAATTTACAAGATGGTAAAGCAATAAATTTCGTCACTTGTGCATGGGTTGACATTGGTATAGACCGTTGAAATTGAAATTTGTTCGACTGATAAAATATATGACCATTAGTAGCATAAAAAAGTAGCGTACAAGCTCCCAGGTTGATCAAAACGAACTCGTTTACGGTCTGTATATCGACGGTAAAGGATGTCAAAGCGGTATATTTGCCGCAGTAAATAGGCCATATTTGCCCGTAATACCTGGCATAGTAATACGGCACTGTAAACAGGGCTGAATTCTCATTGTTTACGGCTGTTTGTGCTCCGTACTCTCATGATCATACGGTCCGTATTACTGCGCCAAATATTACGGCAAACTTTCGCCCGAAAAATAGTTGTCAAGTAACTGTAAACGGCCGTATACGGACCGTACTGTTCGACCTGAGCTGTATATACATTATTCGAATAAGTAGTTAATTAAATTGGAGTATTATAATCAAAAGTATTAAGCATTTTAGCATAATCTTAAATAAAGCCAACAAATTATTTATATTTACGATTTTTACTAACTAACTTTCACTGTATTGTGGATAATTTTTATCTGCTAATAAAACACCAGTAGAAAGACGATGAAACAATAAATCGTTTCATCGATTTACTGCCGTAAACAATCTTTAAAAGGCGCGCTTTGCTTATATGCAATTTTAATAAACAACAACCTTATTCAACTGTTTTTTCTTTATTGTTAATTGTTAATCTTTTATCCGCCTTTTCCCACCCCCTGCACTTTCTACGCGAATACACAACGAGTTATAAAGCACACTAATATCAGATACTTCTTTATTTTAAATTGAATTTTGTAATTTGAATGTCAAACATTCTGAACATCGTAATTCTTATTCAATATTAAAGTGTTATAAAAAAAAATAGATATTGATATTCGATTTAGAAATCCTTTCTAAGCATTAACTGACAAAAAACATCGACGTAAATAAATTATTATCGTTGATATAGAAGTATTTATTCTTTTTTTCTTGGACGAAAGTGTACGAATGTATAAGACAAACTGAAGAATGCACTGATTTTTTTTAATAGTTAGCATAACGATAAATGAAAAATGTTTCTGTTGGATATGAATAATATTTTTTATTTGAAAGGAAATTGATATTAATTAATAATCTCACATATAAAAGCAAAAATGCATGACATATTGAATTGTTATGTATTGTAAAAAATTAGAAAGTTATGCGTAATGGTGTCATGTCCATATAATATAATCTTTTGAATGAATTTTGATTGATCGGAGTAAAGCAAAACATTAAATGACATTTCATTTGTGCGTCACGTATTTTATCACTGATAATATGACATTTATTGATATAATAGTATTGCATAGTGATATTATCGAGTCTGAAAAGAAATTGCAAACTAAAATAATATATATGTACATATATAATTTATTTAAATGGATACTGTTAATGTAAAAAGGAGTAACAGTAATCATATAATAGATTTGATTCATCTTATAGATGGTCATAGATGTAAATAATAATGAATAAATTTTATTTATTTAGTGTTCTTTGTAGAAAAATTGAGTTTTTAAATTGAACTTTTTTTATATTAATCTATGAAATTTTTATAATGTTTTATATATGATTTACATGCAATGAAGATGTTCATTGTAAACGAATTGATTCTTAAATCCATTGATGATAACATTATATCATTAAAATTGTGTATTCCATATTTTATAGTAGTTTGTTGTTTTTTACATAAAAGTTTTCTTGAACTCAATATTTATATTATCATTTATCGTTGGATCATTACAAACGTATAACTTTAAAAGCAAAAAATGCTTAAGATATACGTATATATTTATATTTGACTGATTAATTTAAGAGAAAATACATTTTCATTTTGAAACTTTTGTTGACGATTTCTCATTAATTACTCATGGTTATGGATTTATAGTATAATCGAATTTATTATTGTTTTTCTTGTCCGAATTCAATAAACAGAATGAATTATGCTTTTGATTATATGAGTTCAGTTGGTGGAGACTCTTTCAAATAAAACAATAATGTTTTCGTCTAAGTAGCCTATTAAATGAATATCTTGAGGGTGTGGGTGTGGTTATCGGTATTCGCTGAACCTGCACATACATTCACAACATACCCACTCGCACACCCTTTTCTAACTATCCTCAAAAATTAGAAATAAAAAATCTAATAAAATCATCAAAAAGAAATACCATTATTATTTATTGAACATTTCATAATTATTTAAAATATGATAGTGCTAATAAAATCATTTTAAAACTTTCTTATAATTAAACATTAAAATAATTCTGCTTTCCTTTGAACAACACTTCGAGTTTCATCTTTTTTATTAAATCAGACTAAAAATTGACAATTATACGTTCTTGTCTCGCTCAACTAATAACACATCAAGTCGCTACAATAAAAACATCAAGATAAATACATATTATATAGCCAACTACTGCTATTTCTAAAATCTCAATCGACAAAGTTGATATAACTTCTCTTTGTCTGTAAGCTTTATTAGTGTCATGTTCATGATGTTTCGATCATGTACAGATTAATATTTTTTAATTTTTTTGGTAAAATACAATAAACTTCAACTGCACAATAGCATATTTTTCTCTATAATTACCAATAATGAAGCAATTTGATAAAGCGCG